GACAGAAAAGGTTTGATGTTTTTTTCCTGAGAGAGGGGAGAGGTTGCAGCACTGTAACAAAACCACCTTCTCACCAGGCCCTGCCACACCCCACACACATGCTCAGTTCCTGAAGGTAGAAGAGTGAAGGTGACAACCAGGGACTGCTCGCCCAGAAACAGGGAGGGGGTTCTGGACGGTGACATGAGGTTTGAAGGGACAGGGAGGCCCAACTGAGCATGAGTTAGGAGGAAAGGAGAGAGTGTAAGCCAGCTGCATGGGGGATGGGGGGCGGGGGGCCAAGTCAACGGTGCCAGTAGGTTCCCAAGAACACAGGTTCCTGAGCCTGCTGGCTCCCTGGAGAGTCTGGGGCCTGAAGCCCTCCCTGCCCACAGGTGTGGGGCACCAGGGCTGAGGCCTTCCAGCAGGATGGGGGGGGGGGTTTGCTCTCCATCCCCATTAGCATAGAGGGTCTCAATTTCCATTTTACCAGGACCCTGCTCTACGACCACCACAGCAATCACTGATCAAGCAAGCCCTTGGGACACCAAGACCCTGGCGGACAAATTGCTGAGAAAGAAGATGCTTGGAAGTGACTTTCATTGCAAGCAGGACAGGGTAGCTTTATAACCGCGAGATCTGCTGGGCACATAGCCAGGTGTGCCTGACATCAGGTGGGCCCGACACAGCGCCGTGGGAAGGACACGCACAAGTCTCTCTGCAGGGCTCGCCCGGAGTCACTGAGGGGTCAGTCGGGCACATCCAGCTGGGGAGGGCCTGGACACCCCAAAAATGTCAGCATGCAGGGAACTGCAGTAATTGAGACTTGGGAGGATAGGAACAGGCTGCGGAGAGAGGAGAACGGCCACAGGAGCTCCTCAACAGATACCCCTTAACGGCAGGGTTCCCTTGTATGTGGGGGTTCAGAGAGAGGAGGGAAGGAGAGATAAAACAGAGATACAGAGACAGGGAAACAGAGTGAGCATCCGCTGGGGATCCATCCCTTTTGCTGACGCACTTGGTGAGCGTGTGACCAGGAAATAGTAGAGGGTGGGGTGTGAGTGGGTTGTCCCACGGGATGTTAAATCACCCCCTGGTGCGGGGTGATTCTCGGTTCAAAGACACACTTGGTTCTTACCAAATGTCCCAGGGTCCACCCTTCCACATGGCACTTGGTCTCCTGGCTCGGCTGGTCTCCTGCTGTGGTGGACTCTAGCCCTTCACAGAAACGCTGCTGACCCTGCCCCCTCTCCCCACCCCCCA